CAGATTGAATGACTGATTGTAAACAAGAATGCATTGCTTCAGATGTGGATATCCTGGCAAGAACGATGATCCGTGGAATACATATAACAAACTACATCTACAATTGTTTGTTTTGCACACTGTATTTTCTTTATTTTCCATGTATTTTTTTTATAGTGTCCTGGTCGTTTTTTTTTTCCATGTGAATTATAAATGTACATATTCTTAGCTCTTTCGGTAAAGTCACGTTAAAGGAAAACAATAAAATAATAAAAAAATATATAAAACAATATAAATTATCACGAATAAACACAAGATCCAGGTCCGTTTCAACACATTACATAAAATCCGTGATCTGGTTCCGTCTGTAAAATATGTGATTCCAGACATACAGTAAGTACCCTGGTGTCTACAAACTAAGTTGCCTCTGTGGTAGTAGATACATTGGAGAAACCAAACGCCATGTCTCGGACCGCATTCGTGAACACAAAGCAGACCTTAAACACGGTAGGACCAACACATCGGCCGTGGCAGATCATTGTTATAATTCAGTAGGCTCACATGACATTGACTTCTCCAAGACAGAGGTTCTTTGTAAGCCATTTGGCTACCATGAGAGATTCGTTCATGATGCTATCCACATATACAAGCACAGAGACAATTTCAACCGAGAAGATGGATTCTGGATTGATTGGAAGGATTTGATAAACAATTTCAGGTCTTAATTGATTGTTCATGCTTACGGTGGCTTTCAGACAGCATACATAAATTTTTCATCTCCCCCCTCCTCTTTTCAGAAGATAGAAGGACTAGTCCTTCTAAATAAACTGCCAAATCGCTGCCCGTGGTGCTAACGTTTTTTTTTATAAATAAATACACCGTTTAAAAATAAATAAATGCAAACCGCCACTTCTTTCAAATGTTTCTTGCCGTTGCTTTTCACACCTGATGATGACCGTTTGTGTTATGGTCGAAACGTCGTGAGAATTTTTTTATTGTTTTATATATATTATTTTATTGTTTCCCTTTAACGTGACTTTACCGAAAGAGCTAAGAATATGAATTACTGCAGTCACGAAAGCTTTAAATCAATATAAATGTACATTTTCAGTTTATAAAGGTTTCAATCTTCGTTTGTCCTTTGGACAGACTAAATCTTGTTATAGGAATGTGGAATTTTCATCAGCCACTCACGGCTACAATGAGCACGAGTACAAATGAACTCTATGGGAAGCATACCAACAGCCAGAATAATAATTTTAATAACAAGTGTTTGTGGTTATCCAGTTTTAATTAAAAAAAAAGATATATTTCAGTTGAATGTCTTCGCCTCGATTTCAGGTCAGAGCTCAGGTTGACACAGTTGGTTGTCTTAACATTTGTGATGCTAACCAAATACAAGAGACCAGGATGTAAACATTCTTAAGTAGGGGATAAAGATTGTCCCCCCCTTCCCATTGCCGCTGTGGCTAATCTTTAAAATAATATATTTCTGGGCTAAAAAAACAAACATATTGCAAAGATGATTTAAAATGTATGTGACAGTGTATGGGTCAGAGAGCTGAATTAAGAAAAAACATAAAACAACAGACTGTGGCCTTTGAATGCACGTGTATACAGAGAATGCCAGTGATTTAGTGGCAAGATAGCTAGAAGAAACTTGGAAGTTCAGAATAGAATACATACCTGTCAACTCTTTATCAGTGCCTACCTTATTACAGACCAATTCAATCCTTATTAGTCACCTCGTGCCCTTATAAATCTCAAAGCTCATCCTACAAAGTCCCATCACAAGGGAGAAACACAAACAACTCGGCAATTTTTTGTTGCCCGTATAGAAACGACTGTACGCCGTATGGACCTGCAAACTCAATTTCCATATACAAGAATACGGGTAAACCGTATGGTTTGACAGTTATGAGAATATAGCAGGAAAGTACTACGAATGTCATCGGGAAGAAGAGGCTTTTGCATTAGGTGGGGCCAGTCATGTTTAAACGGGGGGGGGGGGGGCAAAACAAACGCAGGGACACACGACACAGTCATTGCTAACCAAGCTGTAACACAATGTTAAATGGAAACAGCGCAAGTAATGGATGTGGTCTGCTGTAGTCTACCGTGCATTCCGGTGTAGTTCTCACCTACCTCCTATACATACTCTTATATAAGCGCGCAACTTTATCTATCTGTGATGAACGCTGCACTTTCCGTCGTTTTCATGCAGGGGGCGCTGCAAACCTACGGGCCCCCTGCATGATCGACGGAGGCGAAGGGACAGACGTTCGATTACGTTGGAATCGATCTGCGGACGGCGGTCTTCTCGTACGGCCAGCAGCTCTGTGTCGCCTGATCTCGATCCCGCAATCCCAGACAGGTGAAAGTCCGCATAGAACCGAACCCCCAGCAAAGGCCATGATGAACGATGAGAGAAAAATTTCGATTTAAAGCTTTCGTGACTGCAAGGATTCATCTTCTTTGGTTCTTTCGGTAAAGTCACGTAGAATGAGAATAAAATAATAAATTTATGAAATAAAATAACACAATAATATTCTCACGACGTTTCGGCCACAACACAAGCGGCCTTCATCAGGTGAAGGGACGAGACTGTCTGGAGGACAGCGCTGTGTTATTTTATTTTATCAATTTATTATTTTATTCTCATTCTACGTGACTTTACCGAAAGAACCAAAGAAGATGAGAGAAAATTCACACGAAATGTTGTTTCTAATAAAGTCTTCCAGATGAATAATGATATAAGCTTTTAATGAAGAAATTAAATTATCTAACTCAAAACAATGCAATTCAAAGATGTTTCATTTTAGCATCGGGTGCTTGCGTGTATGCGTCGTTCGTGTGGACGTTTTTTCGTGACTTTCCTGGCCGAAGGCCGTAAATGGTTGTGAGGGGTGCCACAGGCGCCCCCGAACAACCCCACTGGTGCTAAATATTGAATCAACATTTTCATAATCTTGGAGGAATCCGATGAGCTCCAAAGATCTTTCTCACAAATCTCCAGTCAGGGGCAGGGTCAGAAATTTACAATAACAAACAATACAAAAACACGATAGGAGTGCAAAGTATAGGAAAGGTTAAGGAAATCACAAACAAAGCCATATTTAGAAAATGTGTGCCATACTTAGCTCATAAATGAGCTAAGTATGGCACACATTTTCAAATATGTGAGATTGGATTTTAAGTAGAGGTGACAACAAAAGGATTCATCCAGTGCAAATCGAAGAACACAATGACGAAGCGGGTTTGGTCTGTTGAGTGATTCATTAGTAGCTGACCTGTAAGCAGCGTCACAGTAGTCAAGAATTTAGGGCGGTGATCCTTGATACACTTTTCAATCTCAATTGAAAACTCATTTATTTTGTGTTTTTAGTTTGTTGTCCTTCCCCTGCACCTTAGATTAACTCGGAAGTTCAGCATACATGCATATGGAGCCAGGTGGAGCATGTGTGCATTGCAGTGGCCACCTACAGAGGTCAGGAGGAACCTCAAGTTAGATGCTGGGACACTATAGGTATCAACTGTGCATAATTTGCGTGATATAGCAAAAGGAAGACAGTGGAGATGGGATGTGGTAGAATCAGTGATATTAGCTGCAGTGAATACTTCATTTTGATTGTAGCATTCTGAAGAACAGTGCTTGTCGAAATTAAACAAACTGCATTCATAACGATGGAAATTGCACAAAGAATATGTGCGAGGATAATTTATTTACAAGCCATGGCAATTTCAAAATTACTTTATGCTGCTGCAGGATATCTTTACATCTGGATGATTGCAAAAATCAAATGTATCATGTCATATTATAGGAAATCGTTCATAATAAAGGTTTTTGGGTTAGATCGCATAAGTATAAATGTGTCATAACCCTCCTCCACCCAATACAGCCAGTAAGGTTTTTCACGTAAACAAAACGTGCCAATTCGTTACTACTACAGTCCAACTATGTGTTGGAGAGTAATTACACAGCATTTACAATTTGAGTATGATGTTTCGGTAGTGATTACATCCAGCATCATTGGGCGATTTGCCAGAATAATTAAGCAATCCACCTGCTTCCAGTCTTAAATAGAGCAAGATGGAAATCGTTATTTTCATGCATCATGTGATGAGTTAAAATTGATAAAAAATAATGAGCAAGCAAATTAATTATAATGAAGATGTATGTATATTCTTGGTTCTTTCGGTAAAATCACGTTGAAGGGAAACAATAAAATAATCAAATATATATAGATGCATGTTTCAACCTATCATTAGCTCACTGCCAGGTGAAGGTCTCCCTACGCTGTCTCTGTCTATGGGGTCTATTGACTATACTTCACCATGCCAGACAGTGCAGGTGGAGACATGAGGGGTGGGGAGAGAGGTGGGGGGCAGGATTGGTTCAAATATTACTTGCCACTGATGTTAGCTGCAGCCAGGAATGAAACTCGAGGTTGCCGTAATGCATTGCCAACTATTGCACAACCACTTCACCCCCTAAGCAAATAACATAAATAATCATTATTTATTTCCGTGCTGAGAGTGTTGGCTTGGCGGAGGGAATTGAAAAATCCCAATTTATTCAGGAACAATGCTCAAAGACCTTAGACAGGCAAACATCCTACTTGCTGTTCTTTCTCACTCAGGTGCCTTGTTGGGTGTATTACACCTAAAGGCTTGGTCTCCGGGTGAACCACCGCATCCATCGACATGCGACGATGTCGCGCTACATATGTATGTACCCACAATGCCCAGCTAAATATATATTTCCATCAGTCAACAACATAGCATTGACATTGGGCGATCCATTTACAGATATCCCCACTAATTTCTAATGAGCCTCGAACTTCCTTTCTCAACAGATGATAGAATATTCTGACATTGATGGCTCCTTATTTATTGTACAGAGGAGAGTATTAGTGGGGTTTGTGAAGACATCACCCTGCACATTCACGAGGAAGTTAACCAAATAATGCCTCAATAATATATATTTTTAAAACGTAATTGTGTCACTAATCGTTACTCACAGGCGGGTAAGGTTGTGAAGTCCAGAAAATGCTCTGCTGGACACTGATCTTATCTGGTTATTCTGCAGGTACCTGTGTAAACAGAAAAGGGAAAACAACAACAACAGCTTCTACACGATCACTGTAGGGTTGCTGCGAAGAAGATGCGGCTTTAAAAACAGTTCACCAACATTTGTCATCAATATGCTAAATTCCTCTGTTGATGTGTAAACTCCTTTGTCAAGGCGCTCTCCTCCTCCCACCCAGCTTAAAATACGCTGCCAAGCTTAGCAGTGTTCATTAGGATGCTGTCTTTCCGACAGCTCTGTTCTTCACCTGAGGACGGCTGCTTGCGTTGTGGCCGAAACGTCGTGTGAATTTTATTGTATTATGTTTTTTTTTTTAAATAATTTAATTATTTCCCTTCTACGTGACTTTACCGAAAGAACCAAGAATATAGTTCACCAACAAATCTATATTTTAGGAACAACTTCAAGTTAACAGAAGCTTCGGTTATATTGATGATTCTAATGCTACAGCACAATGCACGGTTGGCGAAATACAGTGAGGGAAAAAAAGTATTTGATCCCCTGCTGATTTTATACGTTTGCCCACTGACAAAGAAATGATCAGTTTTTTTATTTTAATGGTAGGTTTATTTGAACAGTGAGAGACAGAATAACAACAAAATAATCCAGAAAAACGCATGTCAAAAATGTTATAAATTGATTTGCATTTTAATGAGGGAAATAAGTATTTGACCCCTCTGCAAAACATGACTTAGTAATTGGTTATTTAAAGCTTTCGTGACTGCAGTAATTCATATTCTTAGCTCTTTCGGTAAAGTCACGTTGAAGGAAACAATAAAATAATAAAATATATATAAAACAATAAAAATTCTCACGACATTTCGACCATAACACAAACGGTCGTCATCACACCTGATGACGAAACGTCGTGAGAATTTTTATTGTTTTATATATATTTTATTATTTTATTGTTTCCCTTCAACGTGACTTTACCGAAAGAGCTAAGAATATTAGTAATTGGTGGCAAAACCATTGTTGGCAATCACAGAGGTCAGACGTTTCTTGTAGTTGGCCACCAGGTTTGCACACATCTCAGGAGGGATTTTGTCCCACTCCTCTTTGCAGATCTTCTCCAAGTCATTAAGGTTTCGAGGCTGACGTTTGGCAACTCGAACCTTCAGCTCCCTCCACAGATTTTCTATGGGATTAAGGTCTGGAGACTGGCGAGGCCACTCCAGGACCTTAATGTGCTTCTTCTTGAGCCACTCCTTTGTTGCCTTGGCCGTGTGTTTTGGGTCATTGTCATGCTGGAATACCCATCCACGACCCATTTTCAATGCCCTGGCTGAGGAAAGGAGGTTCTCACCTAAGATTTGACGATACATGGCCCCATCTATCGTCCCTTTGATGCGGTGAAGTTGTCCTGTCCCCTTAGCAGAAAAACACCCCCAAAGCATAATGTTTCCACTTCCATGTTTGACGGTGGGGATGGTGTTGTTGGGGTCATAGGCAGCATTCCTCCTCCTCCAAAAACGGCGAGTTGAGTTGATGCCATAGAGCTCCATTTTGGTCTCATCTGACCACAACACTTTCACCCAGTTGTCCTCTGAATCATTCACATGTTCATTGGCAAACTTCAGACGGGCATGTATGTATGCTTTCTTGAGCAGGGGAACCTTGCGGGCTCTGCAGGATTTCAGTCCTTCACGGCATAGTGTGTTACCAATTGTTTTCTTGGTAACTATGATCCCAGCTGCCTTGAGATTATTGACAAGATCCTCCAATGTAGTTCTGGGCTAATTCCTCACCGTTCTCATGATCATTGCAACTCCACGAGGTGAGATCTTGCATGGAGCCCCAGGCCGAGGGAGATTGACAGTTCTTTTGTGTTTCTTACATTTGCGAATAATCGCACCAACTGTTGTCACCTTATCACCAAGCTGCTTGGCAATGGTCTTGTAGCCCATTCCAGCCTTGTGTAGGTCTACAATCTTGTCCCTGACATTCTTGGAGAGCTCTTTGGTCTTGGCCATGGTGTAGAGTTTGGAATCTGATTGATTGATTGCTTCTGTGGACAGGTGTCTTTTATGCAGATAACAAGCTGATATTAGGAACACTCCCTTTATGAGTGTGCTCCTAATCTCAGCTTGTTACCTGTATAAAAGACACCTGGGAGCCAGAAATATTTCTGATTGAAAGGGGGTCAAATACTTATTTCCCTCACTAAAATGCAAATCAATTTATAATATTTTTGACATGCGTTTTTCTGGATTTTGTTGTTGTTATTCTGTCTCTCACTGTTCAAATAAACCTACCGTTACAATTATAGACTGATCATTTCTTTGTCAGCGGGCAAATGTACAAAATCAGCAGGGGATCAAATACTTTTTTCCCTCACTGTACATATTTGATCGTGAAAGATCACAATCTTACATGAGAGGCCAATTTCTTCAAATTACTGCTGTTGACTTCCCACGAAGGTTTAGCAATCCTGGCGAGTCAAGTAATATAACCACACCAGTTACTCAAATGAACATTAATTAGCAGGCTTGTAGCAAATGATTTTATTCGAACGTATCCTTACACTCATGATACAGCAATCGAATAGGGTTTGTACGAATCACTTGTTAATATTTCAGATGCGTTATAAGCGATTGATTCATCAAAAAACCGTCGCGGCCACTCGAGGTTATACATGCTACACAACAGTAAGATATGCTGCTGTGATATCACAGGCAGGGGTCCTCAGTCTGACTTCCGAGTACAGCATTTGTTTCAACTGCTGTGCTCGGAGATTGAACTGGGAAAGTGTCTTGAATCATGATGAACCACTTCGCGGAGCTGTCATTTGTGGCCAGGTTGCTTCTGAAAAAGAAGCTAATAACTGAGTGGACTTTACCTGGTAAAAAATAAATAGTTACTCGTTATTTGTTTACATTTCCTATACGTTGCACTCCTATTGTGTTTTTGTATTGCTTGTCGTAACTTTCTAACCCGCCCCTACTGGACATCTGTGAAAAACAGCTTTATGGCTTATCGGATTCCTCCAGTCTAAATACAGATTCTGATTCTGAAATCCCTCCTCTGTCCACCCAGCAGGAGAGATGGGCTCTGCACAATTAGTCCATCGGCAGGTCCTGTGTGTTGGGGTAAACTCTTGGGTACTCCCATGTCTTCCAAGGTGTCTGGCCAGCATGGTAGAGTAGGCCACATACCCTCGCTAGAGGCCCTCCAGTAGAGGCCCTTCTGCCAGCAGTGGTACAAACTAGGTAATTATATGGCTGCACCTTTAGCATTTACCTTTACACAAGAGTAGAGAGAAATATATAATAGACCTCTCCATGAACTCTACCTGACTGTAAAACGTACATCCTAACTATTGTATATATCTTCATTCATACTCATTAAAACGGTGGCAGCGTGATCGTATTGTAATGAAGAGAAAGGTCAATAGTTCAAATTGCCATCAGAATCGGAACTATATCTCTTGTACAAATAACCAATTTAGTGCATTAAAAAACCCCACAATAAATCATAGGATTACATACGCAAATATTGAACTCAGCTGTGTAAATATCAATCTCACAGAATCATCATCGTATGCGTTACTGACTTAATATCCAATGGTGCGCATCTCTCGTGTACATGTACAAATTTTCAACTTGTAGGCAAAGCGTGATACAGAACCCACACGCCGTAAAATTAGTCGGTCAGTTCTGGAATGAAAGAGCCCATGTCCCATTACACGTAAATGTCCCTCCAGGGTATAGATATTGTGAAGTAAACATTGCACAGAAAATAAACATTCAATGTGCATATATGTTAACAACTGAATAATGACGTACTCTTTGTTTTTTTCGGTAAAGTCACGTAGGTATAAAATATATCTACGTCACTTTACCGAAAGAACCAAAGAGTATGGATTCCTGCAGTCACGAAAGCTTCAAATCAAGATTGAATAATGACGTTTTCAAACTTGATTTGACGTTTTCAGTTCATAAATATCCATGGTGTAAGTCACCTCGAGGCTTATGCCAGCAAGTGCCTGATCACGCTACACAGAATGCTTCAACCAAATGACTTTATTTAGCTGTCATTAGCAAACCAAATAGTTGTCATACACTTGCCAATGTGGTACAATTATACATTGCTTTGGTGAAAGTTAGTATCTACATAATACAACCGCTGTTGATTCCCACGTGACGCAATTGTTAATTTATCAGCCTTGGAAGGATGATGGACTGCATCAGTCCCAGACGAGACGTTGCACCTCCACCATAGCCGAAGGATGGTGAAGAAATACAGAGTATTGGCAATGAGTCGAAACGCGTGGGATAACTTTAACGTTAAAATATGCGGCAGAATAAGAACTGTTTCCGTGAACTACGTAAAAGAGCATACAATCAGTATTTCAATGAAATAGACTCGTCCAATATGTGCATTTGAAATTATTTGGGCTTGGAGGCTCGCAGTTGTAGAATGCTGATGTTGAAACATGTCGTATCATATGGCACAAAGTCGCACGTTGCTGAGATGGGATTATGTTCAACATGTGAAAATTATTCAAGATAAGCGTTGGACTCTCTCTTTGCAAAGAAACAACATGTCACAATAGGCTCTCATCTAATCTAAATAAGGTGTTTAAATTGTGTGATAAATTATAGACTGTCAAATCATTCAACATGGCAGTCACTGAAGTCGGGAAACAATGGGGCGCGCATCAGATCATATTCTTAAAATATACGGAAACCAAAATGCAGAAACCAAGGCCATGATATTAATATCCTGCTTGTGTGTAAGTCAATATTTACTTTCCAATGGACAGACCTGCTCATGTCATGAGAGTGGTTCAGGGCCACCAATGGACATGAGCACCATCCAAGAACATTTGACAAATTTGATTTGAAGATTTTGTGACTGCAGGAATTAATCTGGTTCTATATTAATAATTTTATTTATTTTCTTTCTACATGACTTTACCGAAAAAAACAGTAAACATTTGACACTTTTAATTTTGACTTTCTACAAAGAGTGTATACTTTAAGACTGATTGTTGAATGTACATACTGATGATGCAACGTGACATGATGTTATGATCTATTTTTTTGTCTAGAAATACCTTGGCTAAGAGGTTTTTCAGCTTTTCAAACACATGGTGAATGAACTTGCTTATGCTTTCTGAAGCACTATGATCGTTGTGGGTGATATTTTATTTTTAGGTTGAGAAATGATACATTGGCCTATTCTTGCGAGTCTTATTAACAATGCAGCCCTGTAATGTATTGTTCACGCCACTGCTAGCAAAAAGTGCTGCATTTTACCCGACCACACCTTACCTGCCGATTAACTCGAGGGGTACCTATATATATAGTTAAATTGACAGATGCAGGAAGATTTAAGAAACGTGCCCATTGTTTTAACTGCTATGCCAGAAGATTCAACCAGTGACCTCTGCATTGCAAGTCCAATGTGATAACCGTTACACTATGGCAGCATCCCAGTGTTCTTTGTGGAAGGATGCTGTATGTTATAAATTAGAATGTGGAGGAATGATGTGGAATAATGTATGTATGTTGAACTTCTTTCGCACCGTACATAGCCAACCATGCTAATTGGAGGTGCGGTGGAAGGACAACAAGCTAAACACAACAAAGCACTTACAGCTTTTCCAGGCTTGCGTATCTCCGAAACACGAATGCCGGAAGAGTTCGGAGTCTGTTTTTCTGCAATGAACTGTAAAACAAAACAAATGACTCTCATTACAGTGACAATAATCAAGTAAAACATGCAAATGCATTCAATTAGACATTCAGCAGAAAGCCAGTGCAAATGTGGGCTTTGCATACAATTCCCAAAGGGGCAATGTTGTTCAACATCATTATTTAAAATGTGACTGTTTAGACTGTAACTATGCACTGTTAAATCTAGATTGAAAACTAATTTCTTTAGAACTGCTTTTTGTGTTAAGTTTGTTGAACTTCCCCCCGCACCTCCGATTAGCATGGTTGGCGAAGTACGGTGTGAAAGAAGTTCAAGATACATACATACAATTTAGAAACAATTGCAATTCCACTATCAAAACAATCCACAGAATATGTAAGCGACCAAAACACAGCTTTGCTTATTATCATAAAATTTATACTTTCTGGGCCGTAATAATTTGTAATATTATCGAACTCTTCTGACATTTTAAATTGTCATGGCTTAGCCTTCCCGCAACACGCTTTGATAAATGCTACAAATTGGTTGAGCAATTGTAATTGAACCCAGGTGCCATCATTCTCAGCACCCTCACTTCATTGTTTAACTGACTTTTGTCATCTGCTTAGTAATTTCCACGTTTTAAAAATAGTTTTTGTAAGTATGATACCAATGGATGAAGGTCTCTTCACATTTCGTCATAGATTTGAATTATTGCTGCCATTAAGAAAGCTTTTCTCCCTACATATATAAGGTTGGCAGATGCAGACAGTAGTGAGCATTGGTGACTGTCCTGTACTGATGATTCTTAATAAGGACAAATCCAGTCTATAGTTGTTTCCCTGCCTGCCTGTTGGTTGGTCACATTTGCGCAATGTATTGATGTGACCGACCAACAATGCAGTTCTTCAGGAACTGCTGGTTTTGCGTAATGTTTACGGCTGCGGGATTTTTTTGTACAGACACACACTGCACCTTTTTGTGTGTTGTCGAAACCGTGCATATGATACAAGCCAAAAACACCCCGCAGAGCTATGCAGCGCACCTGCACAAATGCTATTTGAAGTATCCAACTGTTTCCAACAAAGATGAGTGCCACTCCATAACTTGTTTGAGCAAGGTGACAACTTTACCCTGAGTTTTAAATTACTTTAGTATGTATTTATTTTAAAATCTAATATTTTGATTAGGTCTCTGGCTTGAGCTTCAAGGCCTGGGATTAAGGAAAGCTGATGTTGACACTTGCCATGTCAAATTATAGTAAGTCACAGGTGCATAGGGTATATATTTTTTTAAAAGAGAAAACTACTAATATTAAGTTCACCAAAACAATTCACGGCAAAAAAGGAAAGGTATTTTAGTTCTAATAATGTTTTCTCAACATAATGCTGTATAGGCTTACACAGAGATCAAGTGAGACAGTTATAAAATAAGGTTAAGGAAATTGTGTTTTATGCAATTCTTCGCAGTGATGCTGAAATGCGTAAAGGGTACGTATTTGTATGAGACCTCATATTCTGCAGACCACCCAACATGCTTCACAGTTCCGTTGGAGTTTCACTCAACGCCATGACCATGCGCTTACAGCGACACATGTCACGGCTTTAATCATACAAAATGCATTACTGCTATTTACTGTCGATCAACATGTTACTATAATTACACGTTTGTGCAAATGCAAAATAATATCACAACGGCATAATTACACGTTATGCTTGCAAAGTAGTTGCAGGTCCTGGAACACGTTTCGTAATATGCAGCTCTAAAGGTGACTTCTATTAAATTCAGGGGGGGGAAAATTAAATCCTCAGCTCAGGAATATGATTTCAAGGCTGAATTTTCTTAACTAAATGCTTGGGATGCATTTCAAGGCTAAATTGCCACGTGCTGTGCATTTCAAGAACAGATTTATTGCCGAGACTTAGGACAAAGCTGTTTACTGTTACCAGAGCAGGGTTAATCTTGTGATTATTTGGAATGGCAATGATGGAATACTTATGCAGCTCATCTTTCCAGTTTGTGATTATAGTTGCGTGTGTGTGCACGCATTTCGACTCGGCCTCAAATGAGTACCCCGTGCGGTGTGTAAACATCTCTGCCAGGGAGACAAAGACGGCCGGGGGTGGTGCTGGCCACCCACCCTCTCGTGTGCCGTGCTGGCCTTCATAGGTGGTCGCTAACAGCACTAGCCCCAAAAACAGTATGTTAAAGCTAAAAGGGGGAAATTTGTCTTGCATGCACACACACACAACTATCAATTTCACAACTGAGGATGAATGCGGCATATAATTTAAATCAATACCAATTCATAGTTTATGTTGATAAGCCACTGACAATCCATTTTAGATCACATCGATGAAACAAGGTTTGGGAAATAAGTGTTAGCACTGCAATAACGCACATTACCATCTTTACCCATGATAACAATCAAATTCTGCGAACCAGTCTATTAACATAATTGCTTAATGGAGTACTCTCTGCCTAGCCCTAACCCCTGACCATACATCTTGGAAGAGGTGGGAGCACCCACGCTTTAACTCGGGCACAACCTGCCCACCCTGACTATAAACCATCATAACCACGCATACAGCTTGGGTTGACAGGAGTGTCTCTCGCATGCTAAATCCCTGCATGTACATTAAACGTTTACATTCGGCAAGTTGCTTCACACAATGCCACGTAATTGACCATCACATATCCCCCCTTATTCTTAGCACTTTCGGTAAAGTCACGTTGAAGGGAAACAATAAAATAATAAAATATATCATTTTTATTGTTTTATATATATTTTATTATTGTTTCCCTTCAACGTGACTTTACCGAAAGAGCTAAGAATATGAATTACTGCAGTCACGAAAGCTTTAAATAAAAAAATATCCCCCCTTGTCAATCAACTGCCCACAACCGGAGTAGTAATTGCACAAGGTGCAATAGTAATAATTTTATATCTAACATTTTTTTTACATATCCACCTATACCTCAGTGCCCAGTGAGTCAGATATGTGACGCTGTACAATCAGTCCCCTTGCCTATTCTATTGGCATTGAGATTCTCGGTCGTGATCCGATTCACGCGTAGCTTTTTGTATTTGGAATGCTGTGAATGATAGCGCCTCTAGTGGCTGTAGGTCTCACGTGAACCCATTGCATAGAACACATTGACGATTCACTCTTTTTATTTGACCACGTAAGGCCTACCGAGCTATACAGCTCTTTTTCCGAAGCGACCTAGCCACAAATGATAGGTCAACGAAGTGGCTTATCACGTGGACATGTGTATCAGCCAATAACTCTAAACGCCAAATGTACAGCAGACGTAAGGGTCGGGATCAAACCCACGAGCTTCGGCATACCAGGCGAGCGATTTATCTACTGCTGGATGAAAACTTCCCTAAGACGTTGCCATCTCTCACGGTCTCGTGATGTAACAATCCATGTAGGTCACGTGATTGAGCCGATTTCATTGCCCCGTCTCTGCGGTGGATAGACTCTTCGGTGTGTTCCCTCCTTTGGCTGCCCATGCTGTTGTGAGTCTCTACCACCTTCTGGTAACGTATACTGACCAAGCCCACAACGTGTTTTATTTTTACAAAGCGATGTCTCTGTGATTTGTATTTTGTGTCGCGATCCAAACGCTTCTCTTTGCATCTCTGTAATTCAGAGAATGTTAATTAATACCGTGTAACAAACAGTCTGGAGAGAAAAATCATTATTTAGTTTCAAACTCCTTGCCAATTACGTATTCAAAAACAGGAAACGTGGAATGTTGGTATTAACCGCAAATACTGTCAATTTCAAACTATTGCATATTTTATCTATTCCATGCGTTGTTGTTTTTTTTGCTGTCTCTCAGTATAACATAAACACAGACACTGACAAAGAAAATAGAACAAATGCTGACAAGTGAAAAGAAACACGGAGAGATGCACGCTTGGCATGGAACGTTTGTGAATTGAAGATCATTGATTATTTACGCACACCTCGATGCATTTGGTCACACGTGTGTTCTTCTCCACGGGAGCTCATCAATTAGAAGGCTAAAGTGAACTCACTCACAGGACAGTCTCGGAACAAGCAGAACCACTTCGTTGAGCTACCATTGGTGGCCAGGTCGCTTCCGCAAAAGCAGCTAATAGCTCAGTGGGCTTTATCTGGAAAGATAAACAATAGTTTCGTTTTATTTGTATATCTTTTTTTTCTGAGTGATTTGTTTACCTTTCCTATACTTTGCACTCCTATCGTGTTTTCTGTATTGTTTGTTGTCGTAACGTTCTGACCCCGTGTCCCTACTGGACATCTGTGACAAAGAGCTTTACGGCTCATCGGATTCCTCAAAGTATGAATATATTAATGTTTGTTTTTTCGGTAAAGTCACGTAGAAATAAGAAAAAATAAAATTACATAATATACGACGTTTCGATTGCAACACAAGCAATCATCAGGTAGAGGAAACACAACCGCAGATATATATACACAGACCTTAAGTAGAGGGAATTAAGACAGATATACCAGGGGATACAGAGAGACGGAACATCACACTAAATCAAACATGGTTTAGCAAAATTTGGAAACTATATAAAGCAACACAGACGGTCGGTTAAAACACAATTAACGCATGGTTTGGTTGAATACGCTGTTTCAATGATTGTTAAATTGTAAGTTAAGTGTGAAATTTAAGATAGTGATAGAATACTTACCGTAGAGAGACCTAAGGGGGGAGACACAAGCTAGAGATGGAGGGGCTGGGACTCATAGACAATGGGACACAAATTAGCATGATATAAGTTGTCAGGCACACAGAGAGGGGGAGCAGCAGCCCCTCCATCTCTAGCTATTTAAAGCCTCGGTACAGAGTTGCTTTACTTCTTAACTGTGCGCGTATTCAACCAAACCATGCGTTAATTGTGTTTTAACCGACCGTCTGTGTTGCTTTATATAGTTTCCAAATTTTGCTAAACCCTGTTTGATTTAGTGTGATGTTCCGTCTCTCTGTATCCCCTGGTATATCTGTCTTAATTCCCTCTACTTAAGGTC